CCCCGTGGCCCGCCGCGCCGCCCGGCGCCGGGCGGGCGGCAGAGCCCGCGGGCGGCGGCTCTCGCGGCGCGGTGCGCTCCCCGAGGCCGCTGCCCCGGGCTCCGAGCGGGGAGCCGCCGCCGCCCCCCGACAGGTGAGGCTTTGCGACGCCGGCAGGGCGCTGCGGAGGGGAGGGGCGGCCCGGCACGGCTCGCGCGGGGTGCGAAGTTGCCTGGCGGCGCTGCGGACGCTCGGCTCCGCTGCGACGGGGGCTGGCGCCGAGGGGAGACGTAAAGGCGGGCGGGAGGGCTCCCGGCCCCAGCTCCTCGCCCGGGACGCGCTGAAAAGTTGCGAGGTGAGGTTATACGAAATGCGGTCGATGCGGAGCATCTCCCGCTGTCCCCTCTTCTTAAAAGGGGTTTCTCAGTTTGAGGTGAGGACAGGCGGCGTTGCCCGCGCACAGCGAAGCGAGCCGCTCCTCGACAGGCAGCGGCTGCGGGCAGCGCCGGGCGGGGCGAGCTCTGTTCGTGCCGCCGGGCTGGGACCGCTAGGGCTGGCCGTTCGAGGCATGGAGCTCCGGTTTTGAGCGAGGAACGTGTGACTGGGCTTTTCATGGCGCATCTGATCGGTTTTGGCGGACTGGAGTTCAGGATGTATGGAAAGACCGCATACGATAGATAGTTTCTACTCTTGTTTAGTGCTTAGTACCACTTTAAGTGAAGGTTCTGCGTGGGTTTCCATTAAGAGAACCATTGCTGTTCCACACTGTTACCGAACTCTGATGGTTTTCTACACTTTTATACCAACCAGTATGCAACGTCCAGAATAACAGTGGTGACTGTACTAAATACTAAGCTTGGAGCTATCAGCTCACACGTGCAGAAGGAACTAGTTACGTGTTGGCAGGTAGCTGCCAGCGCAAATACTGGGGTGTTTTGGGTCCTGCTCCCCAAATGAAATCAAGCAGAAAAAGTGCTCCTTGGTATTTTCTGTGTAAGACAGCCATGTCCTGTAGTGCAGCAGCATCATCACCGTGTTATTAATGTAATGTTTTGAGCCAGTGCCTAATGGAGCTCTTCTGCAAGTACAGTAGCGATTATCTGCCCAACTCTTGCAAGTGCTGCTTGCTGATATTTGTGACACAATTAGATTTAAGTCGCCAGAAACTACTGAGACATTTGTATTGTGGTGGAGCTATGGAGATTCAAAGGCAAAAGTAATTGGAGACAGAAATGAGTGTACTGCTCTGCGCTGTTCTGTCTTGTCAATCACTTTGACTCCTGATTCTGGAGGAAAAAAAAGTTTCTATTTGATTAATACGCAGTTGTGATGTGCTTGGGAAGTATTACTGAGAAGTTACATGCATCCGCTGTTGTAATATTTGTACATAGGGAATGGCATGAATACAGGAACAACAAAATATTTACCAATGTCCTTAGGAGCCAATGTAAATATATCCATGCTCTTACTCTGCAAAGACTTAGCTGTATTCAAACAACTTTATATTCAGAGCTGAACACTTGGATTGCTTTCAAGTAGAATTAAGTACTGTATGTTAATAGATTCAGCCTACTGATTAAAAAATAACCACACAAAAAGCTAATTGCTGCAACCAGCAACTATTGGGGTACTGGTGCCATAGCATGGCGGGCAATGTAGTTGATTACTGCAATTTTAATGCCAGTTTTTGTGATAGTTGTTATTCTGTATTTTATTGAACAGGAGAAAAAAGACAGACGGCAAGATTTTGGAAATCCCATCAATTCCAAATCCTTTTCCTGAGCTCTGTTGTTCTCCATTTGCATCAGTTTTGTCAGCAAGTCTGTTGCCCAAGGCAACTTCAAGAACTAAACAGGTAAGAGTTATAAATTATTATTTGACAAATACTAAATCGGTTTCATGAAGGCTTGAAGAAAGCCCAACTTACCTATTAAAATATTTTTCCAATAAGGATGTTTCATATTTCTGTAATTTGATGTAATTTTCTCAGTAGACCGTTGCTGGTTATAGAAAATGAGGTTTCAGAATCTGTGACTTAGGAATTGACAGTTCTTTCACAGACCGAAAATGTGACTGTGCAGTTTTGTTCTTTTTTTTTTTTTATAAAGTGGGACAAGGGGCAGACAAAAAAACCTTTACATCCTTAAATAAGCAGTTAATTTCTTTCTTCCTCTCTACCTTCAATTATTGTCATTAGTGCTATAGCATGGAGGGTTTTGACAATTGCTCAACAGCTCCTTTTATCTGGAGGTCTAATTTTGAGGGGTAATGGAATGAAAAAGTAACTGCCAGGGAAGGAATAAATGCTGTGGACATGGCTATGTTTTACATGTGTGTGCATAGTTGATATAAGTGTATATTTGTGTATATTTTGTACGCATGTTTATAATCATTGTTACGCATGTATATAACATATGTC